TGGGGCTCAAACTCAGGCGTTTTGAGATCATGACCTGAGTCGAAACCAAGACTAGGACTCTTACCTGACTGAGCCACCCAGGCTCCTCTGAGCATTTTGTTTTTAAATATGGCGATAGACACTTTTGCCAATAAGACATTAATTACCTCATTATCATTACTTTTCCCCTAAGTTTTATTTAAAAGGATGGATTACTGGTTTAGAAGTTGTACACAATGCTCAAGGTTCTGATATATATTACCTATATTACTACATTTACCTCCTGAGAAATCAAACTAATTTACATTCAAATGGATATATGAGAATTCTTTACATATTTTCATTTTTAAAAGGCTTCAACAATATAGATAAAATGGAGTAATGTATATTATCTTAATTTTAATTTGACTTCTAGGTCATTTAAATAAGATTTTTTTCTTACTAGTCATTTATATATCTTATTTGGAATCTGTTTTCATGTTTTACCAAATTTTCTGTTAGGGTGTTTATGTTCATTTTGACTTGTAGGAGATTTTTATATTAAAGATATTAAAATTTATATTTTGTATATATTTAAAATTTTTATGTTTTTCTTTATTTTATTTCATTTTATTTATTTATTTATTTATTTATTTATTTATTTTATTTATTTATTTTTGAGACAGAGAGAGACAGAGCATGAGCAGGGGAGGGTCAGAGAGAGAGGGGGAGACACAGAATTTGAAGCAGGTTCCAGGCTCTGAGCTGTCAGCACAGAGCCTGACGTGGGGTTCAAACTCATGAACTGTGAGATCATGACCTGAGCCGAAGTTAGATGCTTAACCAACTGAACCACCTAGGCACCCCTATCTTTTGTATAAATTATTTTAAGTTTTCTGCTAACTTGTGTTTGTATAGACAAAGTTTTTTGTTATTAAGAAATTTTTAGGTTTGATGTACTCAAATCTATCAGTTTTTCTTTTAGTATTTTTTACGTCATCATGTTGAAATAATCTCTTATCATTGCAAGATTATATAATGATTTCCATGTATTTCTATGCATGAAAATTAAATATACATCTAAGTTACTCGTATTTCAGTAAAAAAAATTACAACAAAAATTATAGTTAGAATTGGGTAAAATAAAATTATAACTGAGTAAAATGAAATTACAAGTCAAAACATGTTGAATATAGTACTAATAGTAAATGGAGGGAAGTTGAGAGTCATGAATATTCATTTTAGGAGATAAATAAACCAAAAGAAAGTATAAAAAGGGTACTAAGTAAGCCAAAGATTAGAAACCAATGGCTTAGAACATAAAGATACTACAGATATTCAAAATTTCAATAGTTGTTTTCTTCAAAAGAATAATAAAACAGAAAAATCTCCTATAAATGAACAATTAGCAACAAAAGGGGACATAATTAAGATAGAGGAGAGATTTAAATACAGTTAGAGAATACTGTGAGCAACTCAATGCCATTTAATTAGAAAACTTGGATCAAATAGGCAAATTTTTAGAAAAATATAAATTTTTATAGAATGTTCAAGAAGAAATAGCAAGCCTACTCTTATAATAACCCAAGAAACATAATTAGTATTAACGATAATCTCACAGAAAAGTCACACACCTCAAATTACTTTGCCAGCAAATTCTATAAAACTTTGAAGGAAAAGATCATTCCAATTTTATTCTATCTCCTCCAGAAAATGGAGGAGATTTCATTTCAACTAATTCCATGCAACTAGCATAATCTTAAAGCCAATCTCAATTGTGATCCTATATCCAAAACTCTTTAAAACAGCCTAATGCAATATCCCCCCCCCAAAAAAAATTTACAAACTCCCCTGGGTGTGTCTCTATTTACTTGAAGTACCACTGAATTTTGCAACCAACTGGCCACTACAGGTGGCCAAACCCTGCACCTATGTTTCAAAGATTCCTACATCTGCTGGCTTCTGGCTGGCTTCAGCCAGTGGGAGGCACTGGAAGGGAGACAGGAGAGTAGAAGCATAGGGAAAGCCAGGATGCTTCTCCCTGGCTTTATTTTGGATGGACTTTCTAGCAGCAAATGACTCTCCTGTGTCTCCAGCTGTCACTAGCTGGCCTTGCCATGACTCCACTTTCACTGAGTATTCCCCAGGGCAGGTGCCTCCTTGTCCCATTTGGCTTCTGCCTATTCTATCACCTTTGTAGCCAACCCCCTGGTGTAAACTGTCTCTATTATGATGCAAGAAGTCAAGTTACATTTTAATGAGGAGTGTAATCACCACATTAACATATTTTAAAAGACATTTATATAATCATCTTAATAAATGTAAAAATAACTTAATTTCAACCCTGACTCATGTTTAAAATTCTTAGAAAACTAAAGCACTTCTAACTAAATAAAAGATAGCTTACAAAAAACATCATTCTTAATGGTGAAACCTTAAAAAAATTCCTAGGGAATGTTTAATATCATCATATCTTTTCATCTTTGCACTAGATCCTAAAACTTAGAAAGAAAGTAGATGCAGAGGTATAAGAATGAGAAAGAAACAAATTCTCTTATTCACAGAAGATATGTGTGTATAAAGAACATAGGAATTAATATAATAATTATTATCAACAATAAAGATGTTTGGAAATGAAGCTGCTAGAGAAATAAGTATAACAAAATTTGTGCAAGACAGGAATGAAAAAAAGATAATTTTATTAAAATATGTTATAAAACAATCTAAAAAAAGAAATATATGTGCATTCATTAATTGGAAGCCTCGGTATTATATTTAATTTTTCCTCAAATTGATCTATAGATTTAATGATATTTTGATCAAAATTCCAAAAGAACATTACGTGGGGCTTTGTAAGTTGATTCTTAAATTTATACAGAGGACTCAAAGGCCAAAATCTGCCAAGAAATTTCTAACAAAGAATAAGATGTGAATATATGTGTAGGATTGCTTTACCAGGCATCAAGACCTATTATTAAGCAGTAGACAGTGTGGTACTTGTTCAGGGATAGAGAAATTGATCGATGAAACAACATACGGAACTTAGAAATAGTTCCATCCATCCATGAAAACTGATGTCCCTTTTCACACCAACTTTGCAATAAAATAGGTCATTTAAGTTCAAGCTTACATTCTGTGGGATTCTATGTCAGTAACATTCAGAGCATTCTCTAAACCCTCTCAAGATAGTACTGGCAGACACATTGGGAGTGTATAAGAAAAATCCGTATCCTGATTAAGCACCAGTTCTGGTAAGAATGAATTACTGGTCCTCTAGGATAGAAGAGGTCTAATATAACAGATTTTACCCCCGAGTGACTGGCTCACCTCCTGGCATTATGATACCATGTTGAGAGCTCAGGTTTGGTCTCTGCCGCTGGCAGGGTTGGATATTTAAGAGCAGCAAAAGGTAGTTGAACATGAATGAGGAAGAGCCTTGGTGAAAAGCAGTCACTGGGCTCACACTTAGCCTCATCTCTATCACCTTAGCTTCTCCATGTATGGGTCAATGGTGCAAGGACAAAAAACTGGCCAAGGACAGAGTCTGCCTGATATTTACCTCCAAACCTAACCTATCTAGCTATTGAGTGCTTTCTTTTCTGGTAGGTTTTGACTTCATGGATCCATCACATGTCTATTTTCCTCTTCTTTGTTTTCAGTTTTTCACTGTGGTTGCTTCCTGGCCCTTACCAATCAGCCAAGTCATTGCTTCACGTCATTTATTCATGTATCTTCTCACTTGAGATTACTTCTCCTCATACCAAAGTGACGACCAAGTCTACTGTCTGTGGCTCTATGAATAGATTTTCCACCATGATTCTTGGAGATCATTCCTGATTAGGTCTATAGGTCAACGCATCTCTGTACCAACATATTGAACTTAATCATTTTTGAAGCAATGCTTTTTTTTTTCCTCCTTTTTTTTTAGGGAATACTCTGGGAGGCCATGGTTGTGCACTGGGGAAAGCCATCAATACAACAGATGTTGGTGATATGGGCATCTGTTCTTTTCATTTTGGGGGCCATCTGGACCTGCTAATGACACATTCTGAATGTATAATTTTTATTGTAAGATGGATTATGATTGCATTTGTGCAACCTTATAACTTGGTGAATTTAAGCATACCCAGTTTTTTAATGTACTGTAGTGTGTTTTTAGTCAATTGATGTCCCATGATTAGGCATTTGCCAAATACTTGCACCAGGTAGCTTGCCAGGAGCTGCTTCTCAAACATATGCAGAGAACCCTAGTGTTCTCTGCAGTGACTTACCTAGTGGAGTCAGCCAGAGGCTTTATACAGTATCTTATCTACCACAGATACCTCCAACACCATTGGACCTGCCAGATCATATCATCTGAACTTGTGGCAAAGTTCTCTCTTGCTCTGTACAATTAAAACTGACAGAGTTTTGAATTTTCAATACATAGATCCAAGCACCAGGTATAAATATGTTATATGCTGCCTCCAAACCCAAAGAAAACCACCAAACCTGGGGTGGTATCTCTTCCTCAGTGATAAAGGGCAAAAGTTCAACATCTAGTCCTTTTCCCTACATGAGTATCAGAACAGGTCCCAGATTATTGGAATCGTATGAAGATGCTGAATGTTGTAGGGCACATGTAAACCCTATGGCATATTATCTACCTTTACAGGCCATCTAGATTCTGATGATATCCTCATCAGGGCATTAATATGATGCGATCAATACAGTGGCCAAGATATTTTACAGAATGACAAGATCATCAAAATTTCAATAGAGTATATTGTGACAAAGAGCAAGAGGGCCGGCAGCCTTGGAGCCAGAGAGTGATTGTGTACTGTTGTTCTCCCACGTAAAGGCAAATAGCTTTGATCCTCTTTACCTATGGATATTGAAAATAATTCGCTGTATCAGTTGGCATTCACCGTATCAATAGCCAAAAATCCAAAGTGTCAAAATCTGTGATGATCTGTCTCATCAGCAGAGATTAGAGCTACAACTTGGTTAGGTTTATAGTAATCCACAATCACCAGTCATAATACATATAATTTTTTTCACAGAGGCCATAAAGATGAATAGAGTAAGAATATAACAGAGGCCCTTTGACTGGTAAGTGATCCAATTCTAGAATTCCATCTTGAATGTACGCTTTCTAATTGGCTTAGAAATTAGAAATTGGCTTTCTGTTGCCATGAAAGCAAAACACAGAACAATCCCTTGAGTGTACGTAGATAATTTGAGAAGGGTTCCTAAGACGCAGAAATAGGAAGTGGAAAAATTAGATACGGAAAGAATTCAATTAATTACAAAATACATTAATTAGCTGTTTATGGTCATGGATAACAGGGGTTCAAGCCTTCTAGTAGCTCTCTGAGGGACCATGGACCACACACATTAGAATTATCCCATGGGTTGTCCCTGAGAGTGTTTATACCCCCACATTTTTTTTTCTGCACAGTTGAAAAGACTTCTGTGGCTTTGGAAGAAGGCTGGAGGCTCCAAAGCATATATCTCAGCAAGATCTTTGTGTGGGAGGTTGGCAACATACTGCACCATAAGGATGCAGGCATAGCTATGAGGAGATCATGTTGACTGGGTGGCAGGGACATGGTAAGTTACAGTCATTTGCAACACTCAGACATGTATACAAATGTTCTTCTAGTACGATGGTCCTGCCGGGTCTTAGTCCACCATATTGCACGGATGCAACAACAGCTCTGGTTGTCATGAAATATATTCACAAATATTTGGATCCTTCCTGTATGTAGGCACAGAAGAGGATTATACTTCCCTGCCCTTTCTGAAGTGAGGCAAAGCTATTTGATATGCTTTGGCCAGTGAAAGGTGAGTAAAAGCTTGTGTGCATCACTTCTGGATGGTAACTTTGAGCCCATGTTTTAGTAGCCATGTTTGCTTCCCATTGCCCTGCTGATAGTGTAAGTGTTGATGTGCAGTCTGTCCCTGAGAATACATCCTACTTCACTGACTTGTGCTGAAGAAATAAAACTTTGGTTGTATTAAGCCACTGAAAATTTGAGGTTATGTGAAATCTGAATCCACTCCCTACAATTGGCAAACTATGGCCACAGCCTAAATCTGGCTCACTCCCTGTTTTGATTAATAAAGTTTTATTGGTACTCAGCCACATCCACTCATATATGTATTATATATTGTTGCTCTAATGCTACAATGGCAGAATTGAGAATGTCCCTTATGGCTCCCAAAGCCTAAAATATTTACTATCTGGCCCTAAACCAAAAAAGTTTGCTGTCCCTGGTATAACTATTCTATTATCATACAAAATGGACAAAAATGTCTGAAATCCAATAGAGCCCCAAATTGATTAATAATGAGAATCATTATTTGGTTTTCTAAGTCACTGAATTTTGGGGGATTAGTTATGCAGCATTATTGTTTCAATAGCTAGTGGATAAAATCACTGCATGATTTTAATTTTATAAAGTTCAAACATGGATAAAACTTATCAATGGTATTTGAAGTCAGGGTAGTGGTAACCCTTTGAGGATTGTGACTGTAGGAGGCCACAGAGTTGACTTCTATTATGTTCTAGTTCTTGATTTATGTACAAGTTCCATGGGAGTGTTCAGTTTTTGGAAATTCACCAAGTTGTTTACTGATGATTTTTATGTTTTCTTTTTTTTTTTTTATAAATTTTTTTAACGTTTATTTATTTTTGAGACAGAGAGAGACAGAGCATGAACAGGGGAGGAGCAGAGAGAGAGGGAGACACAGAATCTGAAATAGGCTCCAGGCTCCGAGCTGGCAGCACAGAGCCTGACGCGGGGCTCGAACTCACGGACCGTGAGATCATGACCTGAGCCGAAGTCGGACGCCCAACCGACCAAGCCACCCAGGCGCCCCGATTTTTACGTTTTCTTATGCATGTTATTACTTCAAAAAAAGTTAAAAAGAGGAATGAATAATATTTACATGCTATTTATATTGAATTTCAAGGTACTTTGTCAACAGAAAAATGCAATTTATAGAATAGTCAATATGAATAGTTTGCAACCATTTGTATAAACCCAAAAGGTAGATATATATATACATAACTTTGGTATATATATAAAATATATCGGGAATGATAAATGTAGTTGCGTCTAGAGAGGATAATTAGGAGGTACAAGTGAAAATTAACTTTTCATGGTGGAAAAATCCCCCCCTCTTTTTTTTACTGTTTTGAATTTTTTTCCATGTACATAAAATAACTTTTAAAGAGTTAAAAATATCAAAACTAAAATTATAATGTATATTGCTTTTGGGGCTGTTGGCTAAAATCAAGTGTAGTATCTGTTCTTATCAGTTTAAAACTATAATGCATATATATCCAATGCTATTATATACTCCCTTCTATTACATGTTTAGTAGTTTCTAATCTTTAAGATTACTATTACTTAGATAACAATGCAATTAATATCCTTGTTTGTAAATCTTTACTTTTTGGATGATTTCTTCAACATAAATTTCTAAAAAAGAAGGTGACTGGGTCCAGCAATGAATGATAGTTAGATACCCCTGAAAATGGAATGAGTTAATTACTGACATGGACACTTTCATCTTACAGTATCTTCTCCCAATATATAGGTGAAAATAATACTCAGTACTTTAAATAAAAGCTTAAAGTTTGGATAAACAACCTAGAAAGTTTTAGGAGTAGATTTTTAAAAACAGAGTTCTTTGGATGATTTATAATCATTTTGATTTGTACCACTACTTAATATGGTCTCTCATCTTGCTTTTTAAAGTTAAGAGTGTTATTTCAGGATGTATGAACCTGAAAGCTGATTTTCCTGATGGAAGAAAGAGTGGGGGTTAAGTAATATTAACTATTATATAAACGAATCACTTGCCAGCTTAAGAATCAGTACTTGTGATACATACACAGACACACAAAAAGGTGTACAAGTTTTTGGTGCATTAAAGTATATGGCGAAGAGGGGCTTCTTTTCCTCTTGGATAATTCAATTTTCACAGTAGGTAATGTGAATTTTTATATATATATATATATATATATATATATATATATATATATACACACACATACATATACACACACACACAATTTATACATATTATATATATATATAAACTTTTATGCTATATATAAATTATGCTATATATAAAATTATATAATTTATATTTGCCTTAAAAACAGGGAGGGGGACAAAACAGAAGAGACTCATAAATGAGAACAAACTGAGGGTTACGGGAGGGGTTGTGGAGGGGGGAACGGCTAAATACATAACGGGGACTAAGGAATCTACTCTTGAAATCATTGTTGCACTATATGCTAACTAATGTGGATGTGAATTTAAAAAAATAAAAAATAAAACAAGTTAAAAAAATAAAGTCTAAGTTGCAGATAAAAAAATAATATATATTTGCCTTAAAATGATCTTCATTTCTTTATCTGTACTGAGGAAACAGATCTGGTTGTATCTTGTATTATTTCCATTGCTGAGAATTCCTTTTCTGTCAGTTTCTCCTCTCTCTACACAATTTCTCTTGGCAGAGAATGATATTGCTGTCATTTTCCTGATCAATAATCGGGATTATAAATCTTAATTCTTCTCTAGTGTTTTGCCAATGGACTAATTTATTTTCTGCCATGCATGTGATCATGCCCTAAGGGGTGTCATGCAATGTCTATATAATCAAAATGTCTGGTATAAAAATCACTGCATATTTTTATTTTCCTGGAGAAACAAAAATTCTCCAGATTTTACTGCATTAGCACTGTGGTGACCTTTGTTTAATCCTCTTAAAAAATGATTGGAAAAGCAATCAGGACAAAGAAAGTATAGCCGTTAACATCTCCTTGTGATCATGTTGTTAAGAATTTGATATCTTTCACTTCAGAAGTAAAATAGAACTGAACTACTTTCTTCTCTACAACTAGTTATGAGCCATCAATGCAAAGGTGATATTACTGATTCTCTAACATACTCCTTTTGACAAAATCTTGCTGGGCGGCTGGATGGCTGAGTCGGCTAAGTACTGGACTCTTGATATCGGCTCAGCTCATGATCTTGCTGCCGTGAGACTGAGCCCCACATCGGGCTCCATGTGCTGGGTGAAGAGCCTGCTTGGAATTCTCTCTCTCCTCTTTCTGCCCCTGCCTCCCCTCCCCCCCAAAATAAATAAATAAACATAAAAAAAAACCTTGCGTGATATGGTCAGGATACAAGTAGCTGGTGTCCTTCTAACATGAGAAATGGACTGCAGGACACAGAATCAAGAATTCTAGGTGTCGGTACCAATTCCTCCCCTGGGAAGTACCGTGCAAATCACCCACCTCTCGCAGAGTATGTTTTCGAAGAAAGCAGAAGTGCCTCCAGCATTCTTGTGTTACCACTGAATTTTTTCTTGTTCATAATATGGATACTAAAGTCATGCTTTTGCATTTACATTATTGATAGGAATATTTGGAGGTAAAGCAAGTTTCTATAGAAGGGTTTTGAAGACGCAAAGAAGCAGACATTGTTATACACAGCTTATATCCTCAGAAAAGACCTCAGTGTTGGGGGTGCTTAAGTCCTCTGTACATAAATCAGTAGAAGAGAACAGTTTGGGAGTCGGAGGAGAGAAGAGATAACTGAAAGAAAACATGAATTTGTGATCAATTCTAGTTTTCTAGAGTTTTCTAGTAAAATTCAGGGATCTCAGAATTTTTAAGGCATTTGTTTGTGGAGTGACATTAAAAAGCAAAGTCAGTTTTCTCCTATGATAAATGAAGAAACTGGACAATATCACTGTTAGGGTCCTGTCCTGATGTTGCATGTATTCTGTACTATTTTAACATCCCTTAAGATTGTGCTTCACTTGCTGGGATATTTAAGTGCCTTGGCCATATTCTCTGAGATTTTCTGTTGGCACAAACAAATTAGGCTATTTGGGCCCAAAGGAGATGACTTGGAAACACATGTTAGAAATTGCAGCCTGTGTAGTTCCCAACAGTTCTGTGAAAATCTCACTGTAACAATATTCTTTGACTCAAGCCATAGCATCAAATTATAAGTGATTATCTTAGCATAAAACTTTACCTTCTGTTATACAGAGACAGATTAGCTTAGAAACGCTAAAAGAAATGTTGGTGGGGCTAAAAAGATGCTCAGGCCTATAATTCTGGCACATTATGCATTGCTAATAGACCTATTTCACTCAGATATCTCTCTTTAGGAATGTGGCCCATTCTCATGCATTTTCAGACATACCCAACATGGCAACCACATAAGGAGACAGTCTGTTACATTAAGTGGGGTAATTTCAGCTGTTTTCACAAATAATACCCAAACTTTCAGTAGTTCAACCCTGCTGAGGTTTATTTCTTGCTCAAGTAACAGTGGAATGTAGATGTTCGTGGACTATGAAAAACTTTGCTCTGTGTTATGATATGGGGGCCTACACCCTCTTCCACGTGCAGCCCCCTACTGTCCTTCATGGCCATAGAGTCCTCTGCTTCCTGCCAATAGACAAGGGGAAAGAGTATAGAGAAAGAACAGCATTTTTTAACCCCTCGGGCTGGAGGCAGCACATACATCATTTCTGTTCCTTTTCTAGTCAAAATTACAGGGCAGCTGGGAAATGCAGTCCCTGGCTGGTCCTTACTTTCCAGAGGTGGGAAAGCATGGGTGTCAACAGCTATCTCTGTCCCATCCAATATATCAGTTAATGTTAGGAGGCTTTTGTTAAGCCTGTCCTTTAACGTTCAGGCCACTGTGTTTCTTTATTAAGTGGCCACCCACACATTAGTTTTTACCAACTTCATTAAACCATAAGTGGAATTTTTGGCTGAGGTCTGTCCCAAGATTGACAACAATGTT